CCGCAATTAACTTGAGAGAGTTCACATGATTTTAAAATGCAAAATTGCTGTACATTCGTGAGTCTTTCAAGCACATCCTGTGATTTAAGGGTTGTCTGACCACGGAAACCGGAAATTTGCAAGGTGCGTTCAGCTTTAGGGCCTAACGTTAAAGCCACAAGGCCTAGGGAATTTGTGCCTAAAACCCTTAGGCCAATATTTCGTTCTAACTAACTGACTAACTAAATGCTGTTGCAAAGTCATAGATGGTGAACGTTGTACATAGTGAACTATCGACTTTTTGCAGGTCGTTTAATAAAAATAGGAAAATAACATTTTATAAGCGCAGTGAGGCAATATGGAACGATGTTATAACAATAAAATAGAGCAGTCCGTCTGAAGAAACGTTAAAATTGTACAGTTGCCGCTATTTAAGGGTAATGTCCCGCAATTTATTCCATTATGGGCCATTCCGTTCTGTTACGTATTAAACTGTTTAGCAGATAACATTTTCCATGAAATTTGCCGGGTTAATGAGCCTTCTGGTTCAGTTATTTTTCTCTGAGTTATTCCATAACCAATCACGTTTTTCCCGACTCAACTATATTAAATAGCGTGATAGAGCCCATTTTACTAACTATTTATTGATATTGATGCGTAAACAATGCATTAATCACGATTATTACCTCAATGATTCATGTCAGCTTTTAGGATGGCCATAATTTGTCTTTATCCAGCAAATAAACTGCTGTAGATCTTATTAATTGCTCTAAAATGTTATTTGACTGTAGGTATTTGTTCTTACTGGTAATTCCTGCAGCTTTGGGGACATAATTTTAATTTTTTCGTCGAAATATCAATTCCCCAATCTTCCCCCCTTTCCGTAACACAACTGCTTATTAGAAAGTATTATATTGCGATCGGGGACGATAAAACTAATCATATCAAATTCCAAGGGTACATTTCCGAAACGAATTACCTGTATTTTATGTCGTTAAAGCCCAGGCTTGATTAACAACCTACAAGTATTTTTGCCGAAAAAAAGAAATAAACAAGGCGAGTGTTATCAGAACAATTTTAGCAATTTGGTACATGCAATTTCGGTGGCCAAAAATGCCCGCGCCTGACTTTGCATAAATTGCGGTTTTATTCGAAAGCAAAACGCGCCCCGATAGCAAAACACTCACTGAAAAATTGGGGGAGAGTTTTCATTATGCACTCCCGTAAATCGCACCGAAAATTTCCGCAGGTACTTGTTTGACGCTGATTGAAATCCTCAATTAGATCTATTAATTATTAGCGAAAAAATCCAAAGTCTACAGCAAATTTTTTGCTAAACCAAACAAAGGGCTAATTTATCGCTGGGTAAGACTGTGGTAAAACTGCAGGCCTTAATATGAAACATGCCGATAAAATTTCAGCGGATTTTTAAAAAGAAGGTAACAGTAATTGGTGAGTTATTCGACAAGGGCCGGAAGCGGTTAAAGGAAACGCCATCAGGTCGGGTGAAATTGTATGTCGCGATTGGCGCATAAAACACCACGTTCTTTTCCTTTTTAAACCACATAATTGACCGGTGATTTTCCCGTTTGGAAGTTTCACGGGTCGCGGCCAGATTTTCCTTTTAAACATTATATAATAGCGAATTCAAATTTGTTTTCATCCATCGGAAAGTCGGCGACGATCTCGCTTCGATCTTTCTCTCGTTCCTTTTGTGGTCTGCGTTCGCCCTCCACAGCCAAAATGACTTGCAGACCTCAGCTTGACACTCATTTAACCCAGTGATAGATATTTTACGTTGAGTGCCCCGAATCGATACTATTATTTACGAAACGAGAGAAAAACGTGTACAATGGAAAGCACTTTTCATCGACTGTTTGTCGACTAATCAGTTTATTGCGAGTCTCGCATGTCGATGCGCTCTAACCCCTGTGTGAGAAAGAGACGACACTTAATAGATGCAAGCAGGTGAACCCCCATCCCCGATTACCACACGAGTACCAGTTGAACGTCTTTCTCGTTCTCACATGCTCCAGTTATTATTGTGCTCTGTTGCACTTATATAATAATCAGGTAATTATATAAAAAAACTGAATCTAAAAGCTTTTTTCCTCGGAAACTAGTGCGGATTTACCAACAAGCCCCAACAGCGAAAATCAATGCGGAAAGGTACACACAAAAGCCAGAAAATTAGTCAAACTTTTGCCTTTTAATTGAGAATAAATCTGTATTGAAAACTTGGGCAAATCGACTTTTGAATAGGTTGAAAGTTTTCAACAATATCGCTGCAATTACGAGCTCATTTATATTTATAGAACTGTAACTTAAAATATATATAAATGCGCTGCCCATATTTCAAAGTTTGTTGATAAAATTGTGTGCAATGTCGATCAATTGTTGCACGAATATGGGAAAACATTGACAAAGAAAAACGTACTTCGGTCGAAATGCTGCCCGCTTTTTCCCGACTTTGTTCAGCCGCAGGATTAAGTTGTTTTATGTTTAGTTTGCGTAACATGGCTTGAAGGAATATCGCTCGATTTTCGCAAACCGAGCCGAGATTAGTTACTCTTAAAACATGAAAGGTTATTGTAGGTTTTGCCTAGTTGAACTAAGATTTGCAGAGAACAGAAAGGCTTTTCAGGCGCAAAAATAGTGACCAAGTTCATATATGGAGCATTCGGTCATTGTGGTTTTTTCGAGGCGTTCATTTCTCAAGCCATTGGTCGTAACAAAGGCACTACTTTTGCTAAGAAGTCTGGTTGAGGAAAAAGAAGAAAGGTAAATAATGGTAGATTAAAGTCAGAGCTGAAAAATACAAAACAAACTTAGCTGTTGCAAGTATTTTAGTATATATTTTCAAGCTAAATAATGAAAAAGTGAGTATTTGAGAACCCGGCGAGTTGGGAAAAATCTGTACGTTTTCAAACCGTGTTTACGCGCAAAAATTTTTGGACCATCACAGGCAACCCGTGGTGAAAAAGTGAATTGTTTATCGCAAAAACTACTGGGTGTGTTTGGAAATTTTCAGAAAAAAATTAAAAAATGTTACATTCCGTATTAGTGCTTTTTCGGCCTAAATGACGAGGTTAACGACTAACAGGATTAAATTAAAATTCGATAAATATTTGTTGACTGAGATTTTCATAATTTATTGGTTTATGACACACACAGTTTTTGAGTTTCGAGCTATATTTTACTTTCTTTTTTGAAGATTTGAGAATTTGTTCTGAAGATGCCTATACGTTTGGGAGATATTATTTTACACAACGCCCTAAAGGCCCGAAAAATTTACCAGTTTCTTACAAGACTCCGAAAAGCTTCTTTTAATATAGTCACCAAAGCGATTTAAATTAAAAAAAAAAAACGTTTATCTAATAAACAAGAACATACATTTATTAAATAAACCCAAATCATTAACAAATAAGAAATATGAAATTATCGATTATATCAATATTTTTTAATTAAGTTCTTCGAAATTTATTGGTTTATGACACACATCGATTGAAACGCAAAAAGCGAAAAAATCATTTTATCTTTTTCTCTAGCTCTGAGGCACAAGAAAAAACCTTGACAAAACTTCTTTGCCTGATTCTATTGAGTTCTGTTTCGTGATTCTGACTTATTTTCTCACTTTCTTATAGTAACAGATTTTTCTTAAAACGGGCAAATGCTGCAGAAAAGCAAGCAAGAAAAGCAAAACGGGCTGCAGCTTTTGAGGTGATTTGCTAAAACTGGTAAGCATTTTAGGTTTTAAGGCCGTCGTGAAAAATATTTTCTGAAATGCAAATCACTCGTGCTTCCAAACATCAGGAAGAAACGATTTTCTACGACGGCCTGAAAGCTAAAAAAAATCACCAGGTTTACGAACTGACCGTGAACGCTTTCTTTAATGTTTTGATAAATCTAGAATAATTGCTGATTGAGAGAAGCAATTTAAATAAAAAGCACATGAAAAAATAATTACGGAACCAAAAATTTAAAATTGTCGACTCAAGCCACAAAGTTCAATTGCCAATAAATCGCCCACTCGAATTTGCCTACAGAAGAAGACTATAATAAACCAACCGTCAGAGAGAAAGAAGAAGCAAAATCTGCAAAATAAAGCAGACAAAACCGTATTCAATTAAATTATGTCAACTATTTCAAGAACCTAAAGGGAATCTTGAACATATATATAAAAATATGTTTTTAGGAATTTTTCTATTTCACAAATTCATCTTAAAATATGTTGCTCTTTCGAATTCCGGAATAGATCGAACTAAAAATGCGTAAATATTTCTTAACTGGTTTTTCATAATTTACTGGTTTATGATACACAACTCTCGAAAAAACAATGTAACATATTCTCCAGATCTGAACCACTGGAACTAAAAAAAGCTTTGCCTCATTTTATTGAGTTTTGTTTCCTGTTTCTGATTTATTTTCTCACTTTTTTATAGTGTTTGTATTCTTAACGAGCAAATGCTGCACACAAATTAATGCCTTAACGGTGACTGCTTAAAACTCGGAAATTTTTTTGGGCTTGAAGGCCGCCGTGGAAATCAATTTCTTCTGAGCTACAAGCACAGAACCGATTACAAACAGAAATGTACGTTTAAAAAATACACAATATAATGAACAAACAAATACATTTAGAGAAAAGTATAGTAAACGAAGCGTGGAAAAGTAAACGAAACAAACAAACAAGAAACATTGACCGTGATTGCTTAAAACTGCGAAGCTTTTTACAAACAGAAATGTACTTGAATGAAAAAATAAAGAAAAACATTATTTAGAGAAATCGCTAATAAACGAACCGCGAAACCGTAAACAAAGCAAAAAAACGAAAGTCAAAAATAAAGAAGAAACAGTGAACAGAACGCATTCGAACTATTTCTTGAAGCAAATAAATGCAATTCAATGATAATTAGGAGCAATAAATTCAGACAAACCGTCCTTTATGGTCGACGCATAACGGGGAAGTGACTGCAAGTGTTGTCTTATATTATTCACTAAACTAAATAAGAAATTGGGCTTACTTCATTCGTATTCCAGCGGTGTCTTTGGGTGGGGAAGTGGTCGGCTCGGGGTAAGCTCTCCAAGTTTTCGGGCAGCTTGATGGGCTCTCCGTCTGCAAAAAGATGCCACAACATTATTTCACTTAGCTGGCGGAAATTTATGGCCAGTTTCACAACAATTCCACCTTGACTTATTGGACGCATTGAACAAGGTGGGACTTGAATTCTAGTGGGTGCCAATGTGAAGCTTCGCCCCACATTGAAACGGTTTTATTATTTAGCCGGAGGCACCAAAAAGGTTGTTCCGAAGCTCTCATAAACATATGCCCCATTTCCTCTTCAGATATTTACAAAATTAAGCAAATTATGAAGCTTGCAGGGCCAGAGCTGATCCGGCAAACATAATACGGGCCAAAAAAGGTTGCTGTTTCTTCTCCATGCCGTTTACAAACACACAAAGTATTTAATTTCGTCTGTTGTTAATTATTCAGGAGCTGGGGGGGCGCGTAAGTAAATCCAGGCAGTTTCCTTGTCTGCAGGGTCGCCGAATCTGGGAGCTTAATGTGTTAATATTCATTGGGGAATAGAGAATGATTATGATTATGCTAATACGCCATGCAAATGATGATAGAAGGTCGTTAAGATAGGCCCCCCTATGTCGGAGGAGCGGTAAAAGTCGTTAGTTCCACGAGTCAAAGACACTTGAACATTTGCTAATAATTATTATTTTCATGTGTTTCTGTCTGGGTGTTTGGGGCTTCAATTTGAGTTGTTTTTGGCCCAGGTTTTCCTGGATTAGGGCTTCTAAATCGTTGCAATAAAGAAGCAGAATCCGCTCAAAAAGATTTACGTTGTTAACAGTCCTCGCTTTTGAACAGAACGGAATAAATTGTGAAAAACTCAGTCAAATCTCAGTGGCAGTTCCAATGAAGATTATTCTTTTCCAACCCATTTTTCATTACATAAAGCCTGTTTGTTATAGGGCAGATGTGAAATATACCCGTTCGGCAGGCACATAATGCGACTGTGAACTGTAGCATTTGTTTTATCTAAAACATTGTTCGACACGGATACACAAATCGCCAATATTTCTAAAAGACGAGCAAACTGGAACAGAAAAAATCCACATCCTCCATTAGATTTATTCGCCGTAAATCACATTCGCTTGATATGCGTGATTCGATCGTTTACGGTGTGCGTGATACTTCAAAAGCTATCATTCCCAAAGTGTACAGATTTTTTTGCGATTTGCTTCATGTTAATTGAGACAAATTCAGGAACAGGGTGAAAAATCAGGAACTTGTTAGGAAACGATTTAGATGTGTCTAGTATGCAGATTTTTTGCAGTTCATTTACCAACGCCGTTTTTATGGGTGTTTTTTTTGGGGAAACTTTCAACCACTTTTCACTTTTTGGAGTTTATTGCTTTTGCATAAAATAATTGTGAATGCTATGATGTCGACGCTGTCCAAAACAGCAGAGCTCAAAAAATCTAATTTACAATATATATCATCAATGTTTGATTATTCTTGATTTTTTCTTATACACATTGTCTGTGTTTTTGGGTTAATTTCGGTTCATTTTTTTAGTTTTCAGTGCTTGTCTTAGTTGTGATTCTTCTTAGTTATAAAAGACAAATTCTCAAGTATTTTTTTCATCAGCAAGGAGCTGGGCAGCAAATAATCTGAGTATTTTTTCCAAGTGTTTTAAGTAAATTTCGGTTTTATCTTCACCGTTTTACGTCCATGTCTTGTCGTTTCTAAATGGTGTTGAATCTTCCGACACCGACGCTCTTAAATATATTTTTTAGTCTTAAACTAGCTGTGTTTAGGTTTCCTTTGTCTCTTCCAAAATCCTTTTGTTCATACAGGAAATTGTTCTAAACATGATTTTTATTTCGGTCTCATTTCATTGCTACAAGATGAGGTTTAATATAATGTTAAAGACATTTCTTGATATGTTTTGCAAAATGTGCATAAAAGATTAAAATTTGCTAAAAACCAGCAGATGCCTAGAGTTTCCCGCACCTGTTGAAAATTCCTTACACCAAATCACGATTTAAATTAATTTTTTAAGTTTCCGACTATTAACTAGCCTAATTATTCTCAAAAAAAAGGCGAAGAACAACGCATAACTAGCTATCGGTAAATCAATAAATTTTGAAAATGTTTATTTTATTAAAATTCGTTTTCACATTTTCCGCATCAAATTTATTTAACCCTTATTTTTTAATTCCGAAAAACGCTGTGCAACCAAACTTTTTTATGACCAAAGAACTATCAACCTCCGCTTATTTCGGCACATATGCAACTTCATAAAAAAATCAAAAATACATATTCTTAGGCATGAAAACAATAAAAAATAAATGTAATAACGAAATCAACAGAGCACAGAGAGTGACAAAATAAACAGAGCTATCGACTTGCAATTAAATGTGGTTCGCACAGCATTTTTGTCAGAAAGAAACAAAAAAACATTGTAAATTTCGCGCAAAAAATGTGAATAGTCGTAGCAAAATTAAAATCTCTCGAATGGATCGAGGCAAACAGACGATTAAAAATCCAAATTCCTCACACGAAATGATGGTAAAACATCGTATACTTTTTTGGCTACCCAATGTTSGCCGCACGGAAACGTAAATTTTGACCAAGAAAACATTGCAGTAATTATACACGTTGCACAATATGTTTATTTCGCTGTTTTGCATTTCCTACAACTCAAACTTTGTCCAAGAATAGAGCCATAATTTCATTAAAACATTTTTTTCGAGTCAGGTCACCGACTGAGAAAATATTCACAGTCAAACGTTTATCAAACATGGTAAACTACGTAAATGGTTATGGTTGCAAGAAAACTATCATTGGAAAGASACATTTTATTAAGATGATGGAACGATTCCTATTTTTATTGTTATTGTGCTTCAACCGTCCTTTGGGAAATTTTATTTTAACTGTCGTTTTAAAAAATTGTATTTTGATTGATTCATTCCATGATTCCATGAAAACTTGGCCCACCCAGAACCGTTGGATCATGAACTTCTGCCAGCATCAGACAAAGTTCTGATAACCTCAGACTAGTGAACTTGTAAATTTCCAGTTGAATGTCCTTTGCGACGTTTCGCCCATCGGTCGATTGTGCCGTTGTTATCCAACTGATGCGGACCAATTCAGTGAGTTTCTAATGCCCCATTAATCTGCCACAGCTTGCACTTGCCTCAACATGTCCTCAAGTTTCGCACATGCTTGTTGCTGATTTTCGATTAGCTTTCCAATACTTTTAAGGCTTTTAAACGGACACAAAAGCAGTGTGCGCCCCCTCGAAGCTCACCAATCATAAAGTTGGTCTTTGTTTACGTCAAAGTAAATAGAACGTACGAGATGGCTAATTTGTCGGGTGTGGCCTCGTTCATTAACAGTTTTGGTTCAATTATTATAATTAGGGTTTAGAGGCAAATTTATTGGAATTTCCACGGCGATGAATACAAATTGCCCAGTGGACTTTGTCGTAAACTGGGCCGGTTTATTGCGCTCTAGGTGGAAGCTCTTATTAATAACAATAATAAAATTAGTTTCTTGCGAAAAAGACTTCTATCGAACAAATAGGTCTTTCTTCCTTTGGATTCACATATGTGTGCCAGGTTTGGTTAACAAGACTATAAAGACGTAAATGACTAAGAGCGCTTTTCAAGTATTTTCCTGTTTATTTGGTCCTTCGACTGTTTGCGAATATTTCCAGTAAAACGCGTTGTTAACATTAAGAAGCCCATCGGCAGGACTGATGACGAAACATGTCATTGCTGGAAATCAGTCAAGCCAGCATCCATTTAAGCTCGTTGCATGGCAGTCGATGTTTTATTCAAGAAATCCGTTACGTGCGCGGCTTTTGTCTAAATGACCGACATCGGTCGAAACGTGGATCTTTCGAATTCAAGAAGCGTGCGGAAAAATAGCTGTCGATGGTGATGGCCATCAGACAGCAACAGAACGGCTTCTAAATAATTGAAATTAAGTTAGGACCGATCGCAGGAATGCTGACACGTAAGCTGATTCTAACAGGAAGCTGAGCAAATGGCGAATTTAAAATTGCGCCCCCTTTGAGCCCTTGAGCCCGGCGCGAACATTTGTTATTTCGAATTTATTTTCGCGTGATCAGCGACTGACATTCGAATCACTAAGCAGTAGAAATATTTTTCATTAAACTCTTAATATATCAAAATACCCAGGGCCTGCCTGAAATTTACGACGAAGTTTAATTTCAAACAGCATTTATAAAATATCGTATTGTAGCAAGCTCAGGATTTTTCTGTCGGCGTTTCCCACGATGAAAGAACACGCGAAAGGAGTTGAAAATGGGTTTAATGAAACTCGAGGTTTCGGTAACGCGCTTAATCAAAAGGAATTTCAAATTCCAACAGCCCCGCTTTTTTTTCGTTTTATGCCGCTCGGATTTTGGAGGATCCTACGTTTTACTTATCCTGCCTCATTCTATTCACTTCTGTTGTCTATTCCTGATTTTTGCCATTTTCTCATTGTGATTGATTCGCTTCTGTATTCCTCAAAAGCAGATGGGGCAAAAGAGTTACCGCTTGAAACTGGCGAGTTTTTAGGACTTTCAGGGCGTCGTGGAAAATAATTTATTTCTGATGTTTTGCAAGCAAGAGTGGCGTGCACCTTCAGAAATGGTGTGCTTGGCGCAGCATCTAAGTCTGAAGCTTTCATTATAATGTCGATTTCCAAATCGGAGTAAAAATGAGCGTTTTCGAACAAGTGCACGATATTTTGTAAAAAGTCCTAAATCCTTCTCTCAGAAGGTTTTAACTGGAATCTTCCAACGGAAAGGAGAGGTTTGAGTCGGAAAGTACAAAAAATGTCATTGAAATATCGATAAATTCTGGATTTTGCCAAATTGCTAAATGTTCGCTTAAAAATGGACGATTTTACTCAAATGCTCTATGTTTGAAAAAATTATAAATATCTATCTGAAGCCAGTAGCACCTGGAATCTGTTCTGTGCAGTCTATAGAAGAGGCTCGAATGTAAAAGGCCTAAAAACTTTATTGAAATTTCGATATATTCTGAATTTTAGCAACCTGCTAAACGTTCGCTTAAAAATAG